TTAATCTGCACTCCTACTCAACAGAAACAATAAATGGGCTTAATTGAAAACCTGGTGTGTGTGTGTGTGTGTGCGTGCGTGCGTGCGTGCGTGCGTGTGTGTGTGTGTGTGTGTGTTCCTTGACATTCAGGAATTCCTTGACATCAATTAAGAACTTAATCAGAAGTGGCAGATCACTACCCTATAGGATCCTAGACAGAGAAATGTAGAAGCAGTTATCATGTCTGGAAGGATCTCTCATGCTTTCCTTGTTCTCTGTCCTGCTGTGCAAATATGTAGATAGCAAGCAGATACAGCAGAGGTGTGAATATAAAAAAAGCAGTGTTCACACTGGCCTCAGAAAATGTAGGCGGAAATGTTTGATGATCTTGGAAAGTTAAAATGCACCCTTTAATTAGAATGGCACTCCATTGTATAGAGAGAAATGTAAATACAATCTTGTTAGCTCACACATATAGTATATACTTAAGGAGAATTTCAGGCAAGACAGATTTTTGTACTGATTAAGTTATAGGAATATATCTTTTGTTAGCATTTGGATGCACTACGAGGAATAAAGGCTAACAATTCACATCACAGTTATGTGATGGTACCCGTTGGGTAGGGGGGCAGTCATCAACACTGCACGGAAGTTCCATAAAGTGCCATTTGGTGGGAAGGTGAATAGAAACACCTCTGGCTGAGAGTAAACAGTAACTGAGCAATTTTTTTCTCACCTATTTCTGCAAAAATCTGTCAAAATCAGTTGACTGGATTTGTGGGAACCTACAAGAATGAGATCGCCTGACCTGGATGAATATGATCACATTAGGAAACTGTCATCCAGTGTCTATGAGAAGGTAGGTTCCAAAAGTGTCTACTTTTAATGCAGAGACTTTTGTCTATGCTGGGGTGCAAGCCAATGAGGTCCAGCACATAGAAGTGATCTGAGCAAAATTGGACTCACCCAAATAAGGGACACAGGGACCATCAGATACAGATGTCTATATGAATCGCACCAAAAGTAGTGCATGTACTACTGCAGAAATCGGTGCGGCTCCGACCAAGTCAGAACCGCACTGATATGACCGCTCTAATTGTGGACAATAGACTGCGATTTTGTGTGCAATTTGCAAGTCGCATGGCATGCAAACTGCATACCAATTCGCATGCAGTGTGACTGGGGTGAAAGAGAAAAAATGCCTGCTTGTCCCTTTGGATAATTACACATGAACTGTAATAATTGGTACTCGAAAGCTGTATACTAACAGACTTTCAGATTATCAGACAGTCACTCTGAATGTGTGTATTTTTTTTTTGTTTTATTTTTTTTTTTTGCACTTTTTTCCATCTGATTTTCTCATTGTTTGTACTAGGCATACATTTCCCTTTAAGTCTGCTCATTTAGTAGATAAATGCACAATCCAGTTGTTGATGCAGCTGTTACCATGTTTGGAAGATAATTCATGGCATTCAGTATGAAAACTGATAAGATAACCAGAAGGAAAAAAGACTGAAATCCAATGTTTAGCATTCTGATCCCCTTTCTATTACAGAAATCTGTAGAGCACAGCATGGGTTGGTAACCCCTTTGCATGATTTTCATGCCTGTAACCCATTAAATTCATTTGTGTCATTTCAGCTGAGTGTACATACAGTTGACTTAGGACCTTCCATGTCACACACCATTGTATATTTATGGAAAAAAACTAAGACCTTGGGGGAATTAATAAAAAGAGCCAGAGACAACTTCTGTCTCAATTGGTGCTGTTTCCCATACCAACAAATCGGCTTATTTCTTTCATTTTTACCATACAGCTTAGAAAATGAAAATGTAAAAGTTGATTGGCTGCACTCCTGTTGAGACAAAGTTTGTGTTTTTAAAAAGAAAAAAAAAATTTTGCCTTTTTTTCTCAAATCCGCGGGCCCCTGGCCCTCTATTTTGAAAAACGTTGCCAACACTATATGCAGGGCCAGTGCTTCCACTAGGCAAAACTAGGCGGCCGCCTAGGACGTACTGCCTCCTAGGGGCACCTGGGAGCAGCACAGGCTGTCATTCTCTGTGTGGGACTCCGCCACATCATGAATGATCCTTCAGCTGAGAGGAGGGGTAGCAAATTTTGTAAATAAGAAACTTTTCTCCTTCACTGATGTGTGCTTATGAGGCTGCAGTGATGGGCACTGATAGGAGGCACTGATAGGCATCACTAATGAGCATTGACAGGCATCACTGATGGTCACTGAAAGGCAGCACTCATATATGGCACTGATAGGCAGCACTGATAGTTGGCACTGAAAGGCAGCTCTGATTCGCACTGGTATATGGCACTGATGGACACTGGTATGTGGCACTGACGGGTGGCAGTTGTGGCACTGATGATCAGTGTACATGTCCCCTCTGAGGAATGCCACTTACTGGCTCTCCTTGCGTGCTGTCAGTGTGAGGACAGGTGTCCATTGGACACAGTGATCACGGTGAACGCTGGGGGCCCGCAGGAGGGAGCATTCTGGGAGGACATAATATGATGCCTTCCCAAAACTGGACAACCACGCTGTAGCCATCATTCAGCTATAGTGCTGTTGGCAAGTGGTTAAACAAAGAAATTTGACTAAGCTTAGGCTTTAACCTAATTTATTATATTTCAGTTTACTAGTCTTTAGATGTGCTGACTGTATTGGTTTACTTTTTTGTATCTTTCTTCTCCATTATTTTCACCTGGTGATCCTGCCAGTAACATACAGTGGGTATAGAAAAGAATCTACCCCCCCCCTTTAAAATAATCAAATTTTGTTTCTTTGCAGCCTGAAATGAAAAAAGACACAGTTTTTGTTTTATCAAGCTGTATTTACTCTGCAACTTAAAACATCCAAGTGAAAGATATAACGCCAACATTTTAATAATAATAAAAAATTCGAAAAACAGAATCCCTGAGTTGGAAAAAGGGTCACAGACTCCTAAAAGTGACTTGTAAGCTCAATCAGGTGTAGCTAATCACCCTCTCAATGGCACACAAAGCCATTTGACTTTCAACTGTGATCAGCTGTGGTAATTTTGATTTGCTAAGCATTAAATAAGCTTTCTTGGAGCATTTCAGTTTTTGGTAGTACAACTGAAGCAAACAATCAACTATGGATGGTAAGAAGTGGAATGTATTTAGTACAACACAGACCCTCCAAGGATCAGGACATTGCTCTAAACTGGATGAAAGAGCCAGGAGGATGCTAGTCAGAGAGGCTTACAGTAACTCTGAAGCAGTTTTAGGAATTTATGACCGGGAGTGGTCATTGTGTGCATGTGACAACAATATCAGAAATTCTCCACAAATATGGCTTGTATTGGAGGGTTGCAAGAAAAAAGCCACTCTTCAAGAAAGGCCACATACAGTCACAACTGAGTTTTACCAAAACACACCTTAAAGATTCTGAGTCCACATGGAAAAAGGTGTTCTGGTCAGATGAGACTAAAATTTAATTATTTGGCCTCAACACTAAACAATATGTCGGGCAGTAATCCAAAAAACGTCACCATCTAAATAACACCATTCCTACAGAAAAGTATGGAGATGGGATAATCCTGTTATGGAGGTGTTTCTCTGCAGTAGAGCTTTTGTGAGGATAGAAAGAAAAATGGATGGGGCAAAATGCCATCAAATTCTTGAGGAAAATCTTCTGTCCTCTAAAGTTGTCACTGAGAAGAACGTTTGCCTTCCAACATGGCAATGACCCAAAGCACACAGCAAAAATTACCACACAATGATTGAAGGAGAAAAAAGGTGAATGTCTTTGCATGACCTAGTCAGAGCCCAGACTTAAATCCCATTGAAAATCTGTGGAATGACTTGAAGACTGCAGACCACAAGTGGTCACCAATGTTTTTGAATTTTTATTTTTTTTACTTTTGTCAGATATGTTGGTGTTATATCTTTCACCTGCATGTTCTAAGCTGCACTGATAAAACAAAAAACATGTCTGTTTTCATTTTAGGCTGCAAAGCAAAAACATGTGATTATTTTAAAGGGGGGGGGGGTGAATATTTTCTATACCCAGTGTACTTCCTGTTCTAGGGTAACAACACACACTCCCTCTATTATATCTATGGAGTAGCAGCATTGTTGTCCATAGATATAATATGTGTGTTAGGACTTCAGAACACTTCCCCCTCCCTGTCTTATAAGTAGGAGGTGTTCTGTAATTCATAAGGGTAACCAGAGTAGGGCTGATAATAGAGTTATCTCAAACAGTATTATCAGCTCACTGGATTTTTTTCAGGATCAACAGGTAACATTTTTGCAATTGCATATACAACACCTTGTAAAAATTACAAGCATATCCAGCTCTCAAATGATGATGGAATGTAATATAAATAATAGACTAGGTAGACTGGTCCACATGGATTGGCAAAATTGTAACAAATGTCATTAATACGATGCAAGCATGCAGGGAACTGCATATGTACAATGATCAGTCCCTCCGGCTGAATGAGGAAAGGTATGGACGATGGAAAGGCTAAGGCATACGCAAATCACCGGCAGCTCCTTGCCAACGATGTGGGGAATTCAGAAGACATGCAAAAGGAACACAGCAGGGTGACAGGTCAGCATGAGTAAAACCAATAGAGCACTTGTAAAAACCCCCACGGTCAGCATCCCGGGTCAGTGCAGTGTGCAGAGACAGCTCTTTCCAGGGTAGTGGAGCCGACAATTGCTGAAAGGCATGGTGTCAGGGTCCTGTCCACGGCAGATGTTCTGGAAGATCTGGCATTTCTGCCAGTACTCTACATGGCTGCAGAAGTACACATCAGCCTCAGTCTGGTGCCAGACGGCCTTTATAAGGAGGCTCTTCACTTCCTCTAGTTGCTGGATGATCTCTAGCTCCCCGTGCCCTGTTCCTGTTTCCTGTGATTTTGACCTGTGATTTCCTGTTACCGACTCGGTTTGTCCCTGGACCTGTCTACTCTGCTTTACCCCTTTTCTGACCTCGGCTTAGCTTATGGATACGTTCTCTCTCTCGCTCCTCTGTGTATGACCTCGGCTATCTCATCTGGCTACGTCTGCTCTGATTCCCACCTGGTACCTGACCTTGGCTTGAACCGACTACTCAGTAAACATCTAAATCCCGGAAGGGCTTGCATACCACGCACAGGTGCCTCCTGTCTGCAGACCAATCTCCGTGCACCAGCTGTGCTTCTGAGTGGACCACCAACCAGCACTCCTACAGGTGACCTGTGCAACTTTGGGCCTGACTCCTGCTGTTCCACTCTCAGGGGATTCTGGAACTTGGCCCGCAAGGGAAGCCCTCTCTCCACTGGCCCCCATCACCAGGTATGTGATAGTATCATCCAGCCACTATGTCTGAGGCCGAGAGAGGCACTTCCGCACTAGAGGCCCTGTGCCAACAGATGATGGCACTTAACCAAGCAGTGAAGGATCTACAGCAAGGATACTTCCATCTAGAAGGGTGTCTTCACTCCCTCTCTGCTTCCGCGGACCAGGATCCTCTGCCAGTTCCAACCCAGTAGCCGCACCTGCCAGTCAGTCTCCTGCCACCACTCCTGCTATAGTGTTACCACCTCCGGAACCCAGAGTTCCTACTCCTGAACATTTTCTTGGAGATCAACGTAAGTTCAGAGCTTTCAAGAATGCCTGTGAATTATATTTTGCTCTGCAACCCAGGACCTTTTCTCTGGAAGCTGTCAAGGTTGGGTTCATCATCTCCCTCTTGTCTGAAGAACTTCAGTCTTGGGCACATAGTCTTGTGGAACAAAAGAGCCCAGTGCTTAATTCAGTGAGTGAATTCTTTGAAGTCATGGCTGCCCTCTACAACGATCCCCAGAGGACCTCCACTGCTGAGTCCACCCTCCATGCTCTACTACAAGGTCGGCGGCCTGTGGAGGACTACATAGTGGAGTTCCGTAAATGGTCTGCAGACACCAGTTGGAACGATGCAGCATTGAAGTACCAGTTCCACCTAGGCCTGTCCGAGTCCCTCAAGGATGAATTAGCTAGGGTGGAAGCTCCCTCTTCCTTGGAGAACCTTATCCTGCTCGCTACTTGATTGGATCGGCGTCTACGGGAGAGACATGCTGAGCGTACTCAGACCTTTTTGGCTCACTTGGGTTCTGCCAAAAGTTCCAGGGCCAACGGCTCCTGCCCTTGCTCTGCATCCCATCAACAATTTGTAGGTAGAACTTATGCAAATCGGCCTTCTCCGACCTGCCCTAACTGCGGAAGAAAGGCTACGCAGACAGCAAGGCACCTCTGTCTTTACTGTGGGGCCACGGGCCACTTCCTGCATAATTGCCCAGTACGCCCAAGTAAGTCCATCCAGCCCCATCCTTCGTACCTTCAGCTATCCGGGACTTTAACCACCCATGTCATTCTCCCCATGTCTTTGCAGGTGGCTAGAAGGGACGTCAAGTTGCGGGCAGTCGTTGACTCTGGAGCTTGTAGCTGTTTCTTAGACATCCAATTGGCCAAGGACTTACACATTCCTCTTCTGCCTAAGAAACAGAGACTTGACGTCTTACTTGCGGATGGCACTACTCCGAGTTCTGGACCTGTTACCCAGGAAACCATCCCTATTCTTGCAACCACCGACTCCGGCCATCAGGAGTTTATTTGTTTTGACGTGATCAGATCATCCATGTTTCCAGCCATCCCAGGAATACCCTGGTTGCAAGCCCACAACCCACAGATCAGTTGGCCCTAGAAAGAAATCATCTTTTCTTCAGAATATTGTCTACAACACTGTGGTGCCCCTACACCCACCAATTCTTCCATATGTCTCTCAGTCCAACCTTCACCAGAGGCCAGTCAATCAGTTCCCTCTACCTACCATGACTTTCTCGATGTGTTTGATAAAAAGAAGGCCGACACATTGCCTTCTCATCGGTCTTATGATTGAGTTACTCCCAGGGCAGAAATACCATTTGGTAAAATTTTCCCATTATTCGAGCTTGAACTGGAAGCCCTCCGGCACTATCTAGACGAGAATTTCGCTCGCTAAAGGATTCATCCGCCCCTCTTACTCTCCTGCCGGGGCTGGTATTTTCTTTGTAGAAAAAAAGGATCGGTCTCTTAGACCTTGCATTGACTACAGGGAACTTAATAAAATTACCATTAAGAACCGGTATCCTCTTCCTCTGGTGCCCGAGTTGTTTCAGAGATTTCGAACAGCCCGAGTGTTCACTAAATTGGACTTACGGGGGGCCTACAATTTAGTTCGTATAAGAGAGGGCCAATAGTGGAAGACCGCCATCAGAACACGCTTTGGACATTTTGAATACCTGGTAATGCCGTGTGGGCTATGTAATGCCCCTGCTACATTTCAACATTTTGTGAACAACATCTTTAGAGAGTACCTTTTTGACCTTTTTGTGATCGTTTACCTGGATGATATCCTATTTTCTCTACCTCACTGCAACTCCATCATGATCACGTTAGGAAAGTGATAAACACTGTAAGGATGCATGACTTGTACGCCAAGGTGGAGAAATGTGAGTTTGAGAAGCAGTCCATCCAGTTCCTGGATCTCATAATTTCCACCGAGGGGATCTCCATGGACCCTCAGAAAGTATCTGCTATCCTGGATTGGCTTATGTGAAGTCGTGCACAGTGTGTCTGCGGAACAAGGGAGACAAAGCCAAGGCCTGGGGGTTGCTGAGGCCCCTGCCCATTCCTGATCGTCCCTGGGAGATGGTCGCAATGGACTTCATTGTGGATTTGCCGCCCTCGGAAGGGTTTATTACCATTCTTGGTAGTAGTTTATCGGCTATCCAAGATGGCCCACTTTGTACTAATGGTGGGTACTCCATCCGCACCAGAGACTGCACTAACCTTCATCAAAGAGATTGTCAGGTTACATGGTCTGCCCAGTAACATCGTCTCAAACCGAGGGGTGCAGTTTATGTCCAGGTTCTGAAGAGCCCTCTGCAAAGCTCTGAAGGTGGAACTCTGCTTATCATCCGCCTACCATCCCCAGAGTAACGGGCGAATAAACCAAACTTTGGAGCAATATTTACGGTGCTTTTCTGTTTTTTCTCAGGATGATTGAGCATCCCTACTCCCATTGGCAGAATTTGCCTACAACAATTCAGTCCATTCTGCTACAAAGCAATCGCCATTTTGGGCCAATTATGGATTCCACCCTTCCTCCATACCTGACACCATTCCTGAAGCTTCGGTACCCGCAGTACAGGACAGACTCTCCATGCTACAGAACAATTGTAAAGTCCTCCGAGAGTCGATACTGAAATCCCAGGCTGATTATAAGAAACACTATGACCGGAAGCGGAGAGGAAACCCTCCTGAAGATTGGAGACAAAGTTTGGCTATCAACTGCCAATCTAAAACTCCCGTGCCCATCACGTAAGTTGGGTCCAAGGTACATTGGCCCTTTCCGGATAAGGAGGAAAATCAATCCAGTGGCGTTTGAGCTGTTCCTTCCGTAATCATACAAGATCCACCCAGTTTTCCATGTCTCCCTACTCAAGCCAGCCCTGTTCCTTTTTCTTTTCCAGGGAGAGTAGAACCACCTCTGTAGCAAGCGTACACATTTAGATGGACACGGTTCAACCATTTTGCTCCAACCCTCCATTTTGTTAAGAATTCTCTCCTCCCCCTCCCTCTCTGAGAGGCACAGTGACATTTGGCCAGTGTGTGTGTGTGTGTGTTAGGAGTGTCACAGGAGTCCAGAGCCCAGCAGGGGGCTAGGAGCTATAAAATCCCCAAGAGAGCTGAGGCCTAGCTGTCCAAAGAACCTGTGCAATTTAACACCTAACACCAGCCTTCCCAGGAGTTCAAAAGACATTTCCAAGGAAGCACGACCAGATAACCTTTTGAAAAATCCATTTTTCCCCTATGTCTCATATCTTGGAATATGAGAGACTTACATAAAAATCAGGCATATCGTCAGATTGGCCAAGAGGAGACGAACAATTTGATAGGTCACTCTCTGTGGTTGGAATACATAGGAAAGCAGGAAAGTAGATCTCATGAACCATTCAGTGTAGAATTTAATATTCCATATCTAATCAATCCTCAGACATGTCTGTATTATAATCTACCCGCGGGTGTCACTTATGCATATGGAAAGTTATGAGCCAAAGTATGAACTACAAGAGATTTTGGCTCTAGTTTAGGTCTATGCCCAGACCTTCCCGCCCTAAACGGGATCCTTGATCCTTGACTTCAGAGACACCCCCTGTTGGGGAACTACAAATTGGGTTGTCAGGCCTTAGAAGTTAAGTTGAAGAAGTCTCCCATTTTAACATCAGAACCACCTGGGGAGACCCGTACCTTTTTCGCTCTGAAACTTGATCTGCAAACCCAAGGCTGATTGGCAAGTACTTTAACCCTTTAACCTCCTTCTGTTACCTCTTTGCTGTGCTGTTGTTCTCTGTATATTTATATCAATATATTGGTTACATCTTTTTCTGTAAATAATTTTATTGCACCCGTTTGAACTTTTAGTAATAAATCTTTCCTTCTGAAAGTATTGAACTGTTTCTATAGCTCTTTATTTAAATTTACGAATTCCTGCCTCTAAAAAGAGAGCTACTGTGTTTGTTTAACCCTCTGTATAATTGGCCTGTGGTGACCATGTTATACAGACGATTATCTCAACCATTATAGTAATCTAGCTGATATTGCCGAGTTTCCTCTTTCTCTGTACAAAAAGCAGGTGGTGGCAGTGTGAAGGGTTAATTGCGTAATTAACCTGACCCAGTAACAATCGCTCAGGCTGCCGGTACATAGATTGTAGTCCAATTAGCTGGAAAATCGTTGTGCAGGGTGCAGCTGGGTGTGGCATTGTTACGCATGTGACATCGCGGTTTTAGATTGGCTAGTCCTTTGGTCACGAGTTTGGTGAGAAGGGCTGGGGTCTGACGCCGCGCTCGTCGCATATTGGTGACCGCGATCTTGCGTTCGTCACAACCTCCTCTGCCGATAACAGTTGGGGAGGAGACGGAATACGTCTCCCCAAAAGGGAATGTACATGCCCCCAGGCTTCTCCAAGAATTTCATTCCAAGTATCCTGAAAAGATGGCCCAGGTGGGCATCTGAAAGCTGACCTTTGGGGGGGGGGCACTGTCAGGGTCCTGTCCACGGCAGAAGTTCTGGAAGATCTGGCATTTCTGCCAGTACTCAACATGGCCGCAGAAGTACACATCAGCCTCAGTCTGGTGCCAGACGGCCTTTATAAGGAGGCTTATCACTTCCTCTAGTTGCTGGATGATCTCTAGCTCCCCATGCCCTGTTCCTGTGATTCTGACCTGCGATTTCCTGTTACCGACTTGGGCTTGCTCCTGCACCTATCTACTCTGCTTTACCCCTGATCTGACCTCGGCTTGGCTTACGGATACATTCTCTCGCTGCTCTGTGTATGACCTCGGCTATCCCATCTGACTACGTCTGCTCTGATTTCCACCTGGTACCTGACCTTGGCTTGAACCGACTACCCAAAAACATCTAAATCCCGGAAGGGCTTGCATACCACGCACAGGCGCCTCCTCTGTCAGCAGACCTATCTCCGTGCACCAGCTGTGCTTTTAAGTGGACCACCAACCAGCACTCCTACAGGTGACCTGTGCAACTTTGGACCTGACTCCCGCTGTCCCACTCTCAGGGGAGTCCATAACTTAGCCGCAAGAGAGCCCTCTCTCCATTGGCCTCCATCACCAGATACGTGATACATGGAGAGAGACCCGCTGAAGATAGAAGTCCGCAGCTTCTCCCTGAGCGCTCCCGCGGGCTGGCCGGGGTTCCTGACAGGTGCTGTGAGTGACAGGTGGGTGGGCCGCAATGGGTTTCTGAGGCTCCGCCTCCTTCATTAAGCAAGCCCGACCCTTAGGCAGAGGTCAAAAACCGTAAAAAAGGAAAGACCACAAAGGAGGCAAAACTTAAAAATCAGAGCCCAGCTGGATCAGTATAATATGACCGTCAAATAATGACAAAATTATTTTTAATCTGATTGGCAAAGGAAACCAAATCAGAAAAGAGAGGCCATGCAGCTAAATAGTCGAATCCACCTTACATACAATTAAAATCATGGATGACCGTATATATAAAAAACATAAACGAAGAGAAAATGTAATGAATTAAAATTAAATTGAAAAGGAGGGGAAAGGGGGTAGGGTACAACAACCTTGGTTATGAAGACCACAAGAAACAATATGAAAAGAGATGCTATCTATAAAGCATCTCTATTCATATTGTTTCTTGTGGTCTTAATAACCTAGGATGTTGCATTCAATTTAATTACATTTTTATTGTATTTTAATTTATTCAGTTTTCTCTTCGTTCATGTTTTTATATATACTGTCAATCCATGATTTGATTTGTATGTAAGGTGGATTCGACTATTTTAGCTGCATGGCTTCTTTCTCTTTTTTTTCTCATTTGGTTTCCTTTGCCAATCAGATTAAAAATGGTTTCTGCATTATTTGACGGTCATATTATACTGATCCAGCTTGGCTCTGATTTTTAAGTATTGCTTCCTTTTGCAATCTTTTTCCTTTTTCCGTTTTTTTACCCCTCCCACCTTGCCTGCCCCCCTGTCACTCATGGCACCTGTCAGGAACCCCAGCCAGCTGGTGGGAGTGCATGGAGAGACGCCACGGACTTCTATCTTCAGCGGGTCTCTCTGCATGCCTTGTAGCAATCGTCGGCTCCACTACCCCGGAGAGAGCTGTCTCTGCATACTGCACTGACCTGGGATGCTGACCATGGGGGTTTTTACATGTAAGTGCTCTTTGAATAAAGTTCTATTGGTTTTACTCACACTGACCTGGCGCCCTGCTGTGTTCCTTTTGCAGGTAACCTTTTTGCACTGATTAAACACAGATGGCAAAACTCTTTCTTAACTCTGTTAGATAAATGCCCTACTCCTGCCCTAAATACTAACCTAATTCCTAATGCTAAAGTAACCCTACATAGCAGAATACTTACCCAATCCTGCAATCACAAGCAATGATGCTGAATAATAACGGTGCTGAATCACAGTGGGTGATAAAAAAACTAATATAGGGTCTAATCCTTCGCCACCCTATCGAAAAGCTTTTAAAAAAGGCTTGAATTTCTTTTTGACTCTCAAGACTTTACCAAATATTGCACCGACAGTCCATAAATCACCCTACTTAGAATTGTGTACTTACTCAGTCACTGAGCAATGGCATTTGTTAACATTTATTGCATGCATCATTTAAGCAGATGTAGTTAGAAGAGGGTTAGGTTTACCCTAGGGCAACACCGGAAAGGTGGAGAAGCATTTTTATATTTTTACTTTAATGTTTAATAAATTGGATACAGCTGTATTTGCTCATTGCTGCATAGAGGTACTTCATCATACTGATCATGGAAACAGTTCAAGACAATAGCTCACAAATGTGCTCCTATTCTTGTAGTTAGTAATTTCCCCTGTAAGGGAGTTCTGTCAGCAAATTCAACCCCTTGCTACACACATCCAGTCTGGATTTGCTTATGTACAATTACCTTGATCATGAAACAATCCAGTTAAACTGGGCTTTGGCCACAGTGACTTGCTAGATGTTTAGCTTTTGAGATCAACTTCTGGATTTTGGGGAGGGTTAAAAATGGAAGTTGTATGATGACCAAATTTGTTTTGGCTAGGTCAAATTGTGACATAGTCCCATACAAAGGGCAATCATATGCAGTCTTATGTGGCCAGTAATCTACCTATATACATACAGTACCTCACAGAAATGAATACACCCCTCACATTTTTGTAAATATTTTACTATATCTTTTCATGTAACACTGAAGAAATTACACTTTGCTACAATGTAAAGTAGAGAGTGTACAGCTTGTATAACAGTGTAAATTTGTTGTCCCCTCAAAATAACTCAACACACAGACATTAATGTCTAAACCACTGGCAACAAAAGTGAGTACACCCCCTAAGTAAAAATGTCCAAATTGGGCCCAAGGGGGTTTATTTACTAAAGCTGGAGAGTACAGAATCAGGCTAATTTCGGCATAGAAACCAATCAGCTTCTAACCTCAGCTTGTTCAGTTTAAGCTTTGGTAATAAAGCCTGGAAGCTGATAGGTTTCTGTGCAGAAGTGAGCCTGATTGTGCATTCTCCAGCTTTAGTAAATAAACCCCAAAGTGTCAATATTTTGTGTGCCCACCATTATTTTCCAGCACTGCCTTAATCCTCTTGAGTCCTCTTCCACTCCTCCATGACGACATCACGGAGCTGGTGGATATTAGAGACCTTGCGCTCCTCCAACTTCCGTTTGAGGATGCCCCACAGATGCTCAATAGGTTTTAGGTCTGGAGACATGCTTGGCCAGTCCATCACCTTTACCCTCAGCTTCTTTAGCAAGGCAGTGGAGGTGTGTTTGGCGTTGTTATCATGTTGGAATACTGCCCTGCAGCCCAGTCTCCTAAGGGAGGGGATCATGCTCTGCTTCAGTATTCACAGTACATGTTGGCATTCATGGTTCCCTCAATGAACTGTAGCTTCCCAGTGCTGGCAGCACTCATGCAGCCCTAGACCATGCACTCCCACCACTATGCTTGACTGTTCGCAAGACACACTTGTCTTTGTACTCCTCACCGCTTGACACCATGTGAACCAAGTAAGTTTATCTTGGTCTCATCAGACCACATGACATGGTTGCAGTAATCCATGTACTTAGTCTGCTTGTGTTCAGCAAACTGTTTGCAGGCTTTCTTGTACATCATCTTTAGAAGAGGCTTCCTTCTGGGACGACAACCATGCAGATCAATTTGATGCGGTGTACGGTCTGAGCACTGACAGGCTGACCCCCCCACCTCTTCTACCTCTGCAGCACTCATACGTCTATTTCCCAAAGACAACCTCTGGATACTGGATATGATGCTGAGCACGTGCACTCATCTTCTTTGGTCGACCATGGCGAGGCCTGTTCTGAGTGGAACCTGTCCTGTTAAACCGCTGTATGTCTTGGTCACTGTGCTGCAGCGCAGTTTCAGGGTCTGGGCAATCTTCTTATAGCCTAGGCCATCTTTATGTAGAACAACAATTCTTTTTTTCAGATCCTCAGAGAGTTCTTTGCCATGAGGTGCTATGTTGAACTTCCAGTGACCAGTATGAGAGAGTGAGAGCGATAACACCAAATGTAACACACCTGCTCCCCATTCACACCGGAGGCCTTGTAACACTAACGAGTCACATGACACCGGGGAGGGAAAATGGCTAATTGGGCCCAATTTGGACACTTTCACTTGGGGGTGTACTCACTTTTGTTGCCAGCGGTTTAGACGTTGATGGCTGTGTGTTGAGTTATTTTGATGGGACAGCAATTTTACAGTTATACAAGCTGTACACTCACTACTTTACATTGTAGCAAAGTGTAATTTATTCAGTGTTGTCACATGAAAAGATATAATAAAATATTTACAAATAATGTGAGGGGTGTACTCACTTCTGTGAGATACTGTGTTTGTTTACTCTTGAGCTGCATTCACATTTAAATCTGACAGCAGCTAAACGCCAGTATTTTTTTTTTGTTTTCATAAAAGTTTATTAGGAAATTGCAAAATACAGCATTCAGTTAGTACAACAGGAAGAAAGGGAATGGGGAGTAAACATTAAAGGCGATCAGCAAGAGCCAGTCAAGAGACAGAGAGCGTTTGAGTAAACATAGACAATCGTCACCAGACTGGCAATGAAAAAGAAAAAACCATAACAATGTCAGTAAAACACGGTGCAACGGGAGTAAGCAGCCCCTGCACGGAATGGGCAAGTAGTACTCAGGTACCATAAAAAGGCGTCCCAAAATTACGAAGCGGGTAATGTCCGGCATATGTACCTCCAGGCGGTGACCCACCGGGGGGGGGGGGGGGGGGGGGCAAGAGCAGAAAGTAATCATTAGCGTGGTTGTGGGAGTTATATGATGATGTAACCTGAGTGTGAAAGGCGGCCGTTGCAAAAGCTGATCCCTCGTTTGAGGCTACCATGGCCTGAGTGTGACCGTGGATCTCCTAGGGGCAGTATGAGATGGGAAAGAGTATAAGTTGCAATGAGATAGAGTAATAGAAAGGCTGAGAGAGAAGAAAAAAAAAGGGGGGGGGGGGAAAGGGATGTAAGGGACCGAATAGGGCAAGGAGGGGGGTAAACCGTGCCTACCAAACGACTGCACCAATACCCTAGGCCACCTACAGTAGGGTGCCTGTCCTGAGCAAGTGTAAATGTCGGGCAGTTGGGGACAGTTCACTGGGGAATAACACTCGGCCCGCTGCCAAAAGGAGGAGAGGAACAGGTCAAATAAGCTTACCTAAACGCCAGTATTATGTACTTTTTTAAATATTTCCTGTTAATTTTTTTTGTAAATGCATTTAGCTGTGTTTTAGGTGCATCAGCGTTTTTTCAGACTTTTTTTTTATTAATACTCCATTCTTGGGGATGTTCTACTTCAGGCACAATGTAGGAAGGTTGCCCAAATAGGAACCCAGGGAGAGCACTCGCTAGTGTAAAAGGTGGGCTGAGAATGCCGTTTAATGCAAGGTTGGAGTTAAGGCAGCACTCCAACTTAAAAAGCAATGCTTCTCCATAAGAACAACACTATGTACTAGTAATCCTTGGCCAAACTTCTGTACTCTATACATTGTTCACTATGGGTAACTGTTCATCATTGCACGTCATAACTCTTCTGTCGCTTTGGTTGTGCAGCATTTCTAAGCTGGTGCTGCTGAGCTTGTACCG